AACTATCGAGTAAATTCTCTGAAATTTAACGTTCTCAGTATTGTAATGTAAAATCATAAACAATATACGGTGAAAGTCACAACGAATTACGTGCATCTGCTTTAACCATGACGGATAAAACGTTAGCGGAGATTTTGAGACTCCGCAATCAAGAAATTTCCCCTTTTCACCCAGCCCTTCAATTTGGCCTGCGTCGATTATGTTTTTTCATGAGCGGGAAATTTGAATTTACTGTTCTAAGTGTAAACCACGCACATTTATTTCGCTTTCATGAGTTAATTTTGAAGTTTTTGATTCGATCGACGTGTTTTGCGTGATTTCGAGGGAACCTACTATCAAAGGATAATTGTGTAATATGTTGTAGCATACTGCACAATTTTTTTAACACTTTATCGGCACTATGAACATTTTTTTCTATACAGATTAAAATGTTTTCACAAACCGATTATACTTATAAGAATAATACCGTGTATAGCACCGATTATACGTATATTCGGTTTTTGAAAAAAAATTAATTTGTATGGAGAAAAATGATAATTCTTTACCATATCTAGTCTGCCATGCTAAGGAAAAACGCCGTATGAACATACAAACGTTGCCAGATCTCCCTTGATAAAACATTAATTTTCTAGGAAATTTGCGACTATTCCCCCCTCCCTCCCCCCAATTTTTCAGACACTTTAGTTTGCAATTCCATCGAACGTTTTTGAAAATTTCAAGGAGGGATATTCGTAACTCTCCTCAAAATTGATTTTTCTATCAAGGGAAATTTGGCAACCTGCGAATGTTCTTACGGCATTTCTCCTTAGCACTGCAGTAGTGGTCCTTTATTTGGTCGCATTACGAATTTCAAGGGGTTCTTCCTGAGGGAAATATTATGGAAACCATGGAACCACTTTTAAACTTCAACGTTTCGTAGTAGCGAAAATATGCGCATTCCGAATGACCGCAATCTGTGCGACTTCTCCCACTGAGCGCCGTGCTGCGCGTTTGCGCTCCCTTAAAACTGCTCATTAGTCAAACTGTCAGCGGCACGCAGCACACGCGACGCGATTCCCCAGACCCTACGGGGGGGGGGGGGGGGGGCATGTGATTTTTATTTCTTGCGGCAAATTGAACAACGATGCTGTGTGCAGCCCGACAAATTGAATCAGAGGTATCAACAACCCGAGAGTCGGAGAGACCTGATCCACGGTTGCCCTCCGTGACCCTTCCACACTCGTCTAGTCGAATATCTAGATGGAACTGCGAAAGCACGTATTTAAGTTCGCTGCCCTTTTCCCCCTTTTTTTCAAAATACACATACATTCTGAACCAATGATCCTCAGGGTGTCTACAAGTCCGGAATTTCCGGAAATAGAACTGATTTTTTTAAGGGCGGTCTGGAAGCACTGAAAAAATGCAACTTTTGTCGCAAATTTTGTCGCAACTTTAACGAGAAATTGAAATTTCGTCAAATGGAGGTACTGAAAAAGTACTGCATTTTTCTGTTAAGGAGGTACAGAATTTATCGGGAATGTACTGGAAAAGTTCTGTAAAAGTAGTGATTTTCGGCCAGCCTGTTTTCGTAGACACCTCGAATCCTCCAAACAACGTAAGCGCCACAAAAAAGATTTCGAGAAAAACGAGAAAACTTGAAGCGCTGGGTGCAATTTAAGGGCATTTCTTGGCTGCGGTGTCTCAAAGATCTCCGTTAACGTTTCTTCCATTCTGATTCAAGCAACTGCATGGAATTCGTAAAAACTTCGACTGAATTTTCTTCATGATTTTGCAATACTGAAAACTAAAAATTCACCCAATAGTCTCCTGCTCTCCAAAATATAAATTAGTAGTGGAGGTTCTGAAACACCGCAACCTAAAAATTCTCTTTCTGCACTTGGCGCCTCAATTTATATACCATCGTAACCGGTTGGTTGAATCGTGAATTCGTAAGTTTTCTATTCTAAATGTCATTCTGAGGTAAGATGCATCTTTAGGGTAGTCAATAAAAATGAAACCCTTGCAAGTGAGGGGGATTTCCGCTTAAGTCATTTCTCTTGCTTAAAATTTTGCGAAAAACACGATGGTGCTATTGGTTTTCTCTAAAAGAAACTCACAAAATCTCTCAAAGTTAAGGCTGTAATGGATGGTACAAGGTATATCCCTCGCTACCCTAAGAGTCCACCTCTATATCCAGTCTAACTCTCCATGCAGAGATATAGAGCAAATACATTAGCGCAGTGTTGACGTCATTTCAGTTTTGGAGTTCCCATACAACCCTGTTAATATATTTGTTCCCTTTCTTTGCATGGAGAGTTTGACTTGACATAAAGGGGAACTCTCAAGATCGTGTGGGATATCTCTTCCATCACGGCCTCAACTTTGAGAGCTTTTTTCGATTTATGGAGCTCCTTTAAGAGAAAACCAGCGGCAGTATCGTGTTTCTCGCATTTCACAGCGGATTCCATGCCTTGTCTGCAAATTCCTGACACATGCAGACGCTCCATTGAGGATTTTGGGGGATTGAAAAATGGCGTTGTGAGAGAATTGCGTTTCAAGTTACCTATTTAGTCGCATACACACTCTAATGCCTTAAACATTTCTTCAGCCAAAGGCTTCAAGCGAAGATCCGTCATAAAATATCGACATCGCGTCATTTTGTTCTCCTCCTTGATCCTCGCTTGAGTAAGTTACAACTCCTTGCGGTGATGCAACTATTCGAACTCGATGGATGTCCGTGTTGCATAGCAAAAAATTGAAGGCGCGCCGAGAGTCGCTCATTCCGGAAGGATATTCCTTTACAAAGAAGTGCACAGTTTAGGAAAGTTTACTACTCCCTCTCTCGGACCTCGGTCAGGTCCGTGTGATGCGGTCAATAGAGGATAACCTGTTTCTTTCGGAAAATACACTAAAAACACAGTAAATACACAATGAAGGTACATATAAAATGCAGGTCCGTGTGATGCGGTCAAAAGAGAATAACCTCTTTCTTTCGGAATTTACACTAAAAACACAGTAAATACACACAGAAGATACATATAAAATGCACAGCGAATAGAAGCGCGTCCGGCAAATCAGTGGAGCTAATTATAATTTTCAAGACATAGCTGCCTGACAATCGAATGTTTTTTCCAGAAAGTACTGCATAAATTGATCCGTTTAATTAATCTGATGATATTTAGGGGTACCTGCCTAATTTTATTTCGGAAAAATGGTGACATTTCATTCACAATTTTAATGCTACTCAGTTTTTACTGAGGTCCTTTTCCACATGGACTTTTTCTTTTTCTCCTTTTTCTTCTTCATCTTCTCTCCATTTATGTTGGTGCCTTATGGGAAGCAAATGCCTTATGGGAAGCAAATGCCTTAGAGAAAAATGAACTGGATGCACGAATAATATTTATTCATTCATTTCTATGTGACAAAATTGGAATAATATTTTTTGAAAATTAACTGTAGGAAGGAAAGAAAACATTTCAAATGCTGCAACGTAAATCAGAGCGTGGGTTTTCGTGATAGACTCTTTGTATGGAGAAAAGATGGTCGGAGGTTCTCGATAACAGAACAGCGCATTGCTCTTAAGTAGGAAGTTGTGGTGCAGCGGTTTGGATTATTCTCTTGAATGGAGGGGTTTGCTATGACGTCACGGATCAAAGGAAATACGGGATCAATAGCCAACGAGATAGACACTCTCTATAGGTCAACATCGCATACGTGACTGCCTAATTTACTACCTTGGTTTCTTTAAGAAACTCTCTCTCAGCTTTTTTCCGTTTTTTCAAATACTTAAGTCGCTACTGATCAGTGAGGCAACTTTTCAAGAATGATGTGTCCCAACTCCACAAATCAGGAAAGATCTGAACGAGGAGAATGTTTCTGTAGAAAGAAGCGCATGGTCCGCTCTACTTCTTTTTTCGAGGAAAGCAGAAGCTCTTCTTACCTTTTTGTAATACTATATGGACCGAGTTTAACAGAAAGGAACCAAGCCACATCAGCTATTGCCACGTTTAACTGGACAATTAATTTTTTTTACGAGAGAACGTTTGTTCGGATTTCTTTGAAAATTTTAAGGAATTTGCTTTGTACCATGGAGAATTTTCACTGAAATTTGCACGAAAATCCGCACAACCGTTTTCATATAAAAAATTAAATTGCCCAATTAAATTTGGCAATAGCTGATGTGGCTTGGTTCCTTTCTGTTTAACGCGGTCCATATATACCTCGCCGAAGACGGGAGGGTGGCAAACTTTCCGTAAACGTGCACTTTTTGAAGAAACAGCTTTCTGGAATGACCGAGTTTTTCGGCGCGCCTTCAACCTTTCGTTTATGCAACACGGACATCCGTCGAGTTCGAATAGTTGTATCAAGGAGCTTGAATCGATGTTGAATCATCTTCGTCCTTTTATTTTTTTTCTAAGTCCGATTTTTGCGCAGCCATTGACTGAGACGCGTAATCTTGCCAGAAATTACAAATGTAAAGAAAAAAACTTATTTTTTCTGTCATTTGGTCATTTTTAAGGCTCACCAGCTACTGATTGCCTTTTCCCACAATTTGATTTCTAAACAAGGAGATTGTGTCCAAGGCTTTCGAAAGTCAGCGTATTTAAAATAAAAGAAAATAGTGGACATTTCGTTTGAATGAGGTCAGAGAAAGTTAGGGAATTAAACAATTTTGGAGTCAGGGGGAAGCAAAAATATTCCGGGAAAGTAGGGGAATTTGAAGAAAAAACAATTACGGCAACCTTGAGACTGAAGAGGCGCAATAAAAAATTTAGCCTATGCGACGTCGGATAACTGAAATCCGATCATGTTCCTCCTGCTTGAAGAAGTATACTTCAAATACCTACAACTTTCGTCACAGAAAATTTTCGTCGCAAAATTAAAATATGTGTAACGGTCCGAATGCGCAAACGAAAACGGAAACTCAATTTACTCCGACTAATGGTTTTATCTGTTTTTACAGGTTATCGAAGCGTCATGAACCGCACCATTGCATCATACCTTTTTTTATTTTGTTTTAGATGATGGAGGAGAAGGGGAGCAATCTGTAAGCATCATGTTGAATGGTGAAGAATCAGAACTTAGGTTTGTCAAGATAAATAAATTCAAAGTAAGTATCCCGTAAACCTGTCAAAATTGGTTCTTTAATTTAAATTTTCCAGAGTGCTTCCGAAATTTCTACCGTGCTGAGTAGGAACGCGGTATGAGCATTCAAATGTTGCAATATTCCCTCTCCGAAACTCTTTTAATTATGAGGAAAATTATGAATATTTTTCCTCGACATTTTCGGACTTGACAGATCAAATTATACAAGCGAGATTCTCTGAAAAATCGGAGGAGAATTATTCACGGATTTTCCTGGGAATTCACGATTTGTCGAAGTTAATTTGGCAACGTCTGTTGGCTCATACGGCGTTCCTCCTCAGCACCGCAGACCTAGCGCTGGGACTCAATTTGATAAGAGGATGAGTTAATATAATCTGCTCTTTTTGATGAGGAAATTATTCCAGCGTGATTTTGACGTATTTACGCGGGTCTCAACACTGAAGGACACTCAGGACATCGTAAGACTCAAGAAAAAAATCTGTTCGTTAGCAGTTTAAAGTATCCCGAGTGAGACAATACCAAAAAGCTGTTTCTGAAAACTCCTACTGAAATGAATTTTTAAAAATTATGATGTAGAGAACTCTTTCTGTACGTTTTTTAAAGTAAGATTCACTTTTGGTGACATTTACGTAAGTCTTCAAAAAAAAGTACTTGTTTAGATTTTTTAAAATTCTATTCAAACAAGTATTAGAACCAAACCAAAAGAGAACTTTTAGGAGTTTCTGACACCCTGGTAAGAATTGGCTAGGTATAGGATCTGTGTTTCAAAATACTATGTATCCGGCTAAAAGATTTCTTAAGCGATATAAAGTTATACAGCCGGGCTGTAGTTCCTATCACCTGGCTGTAGCTTTATTTCCATTGGCTATAAAAGGCAATAAGAAATTGTACAGCCGGCTATAGAAGCTATAGGAAATCTAACAGCCGGCTGTAGGTCTAAAGTATTTTTGAACACAGATTCTACTGCCAATTTTCACCTGGGTCATTTTATTATTTAAGTAGAGCATGGCGGTATATGTATAGCTATAGATAAATAACAATCGAAAACACAGGAAAATGTGGAAACAAGGCTAAAATACAAAATACAACAGGCAGGACGTTCCGGTCCCTGGTAAAAACTGGCGATAGGAGCTGCGTTTCAAAATAACATAGTAATTCTTATAGCCGGCTAGAGAAGGTGATAGAAAATCATATAGCTAGTTGTAGAGAGCGGAGAAAATCACAGCCGGGCCATACGAAGCGATAAAAAATTATACAGCCGGGCTAATATTTTATTTGTTAATCATCTGTGTTTTTTCTAGGCATATAATTATTTGTCTCCTGAAATATATTATAGAAAGCAATAAGATGAATGAATAAGTTATAGAAATCGTGAGAATGGTCAAAAACTATAAGTCAAAGATGTATTCATCTGAAAAAGGTGCTAGCAGGGGTCATGAAACATCAAATAGACTAAAGTATCGACCCCTGTGTATTACTGCCAAAACTAGCACCAATTTTGTCGGCGTTTAGCCGAGGGTAAAACCCTCGTTTCCACCGTCCACCACGAGGAGGAACCGACATCAGACGGCAACGCTTCCATCGGCCAACTTACAACTCCCATGGCATTACGTTAATTTGAAATTCAAAATTTTGAAGAAATTTTGAAGAAATTGAGAAGAAATTTTAAAAGACAAAGGCATGGGGCTCATGCCTTTGTTTCACTCGAGATCGGATGCCCTATAGCCGGTCCGGACCGACCAGTTTCCTCCTTAAGATCTCTTCTCCGTTCTGCTTTTTTCACACGGACTCCCGCGCGAACGAAGCACAACGGATCTACTCAGTTCCTACGAGATCAGAGGTTTAGTCGAGTGAGATTTAGTAAGGATAACCAGTGACCTCTTCAAGATCTCATGCCATGAAGAGTTGGGTCGCCTCGAGGTCGCGCACCCTCACTCACAACAGTGAACAATTCGCAATGACCGAATGCAGGGAACTCCTCTACCACCGTGCGATCCAGCAGTGAGACAACAAACTCGTAGCTGGATACTCTCTACAGAGATAGAGATTGCTGAAACTTTGTCCGGCTTGTTCGGCCCAGGAGAACAGAATACCCTGAGCCACGAGACCCCGGAACTCTCGTGAAGTATTCGGCTCTCCTGCATCAAAACCTACTTCAATCTGCAACATCGCCCCAACCACCAGCCCGTTTGAGAGGCGTCCGACCCTCCGGTTCCGACTTTGCCTGGTCTAAAGTGTCCCGGGGGGGATGACGGCTTTAGACTTAATGCGCAAGCATCGGCAGATACCGGAGGTTGACCAGTACAGGATTGCCAGGCTTCGATCGGTCACCCCTGCAATTGGTCACTGACGAATCGCGCAAAGTCGGTCACAGATCGGGATTTTCAGACCACTGCGTACCGGTTGATCCTTGCACCTCGCGGTTCAAGGATATGGCCTAACTACTATCAGTGGTCCCCTGAAGATCATCATTCCCCTCATGTTCCTAAGGTTCCGCTTGATCTCTTCCGTAAGCCATGGACTAACGACCAAGGTAATAACGTACCAAGGTTCCGCTTGATCCAAGGCTGCAATGGATATGGGCTAACGACCAAGGTAGCCCTGCCGAAGCAGGACACCGAGGATGCGCTTGATCCATGCCTGAGCGAATTAGGGATATGGGCAACAACCAAGGTAATAACGTACCGAGGATGCGCTTGATCCCATTTCTCTACGATATGAAGAGATATGGGCTAACAACCAGAGGCGAGGGAGGGTGCTGAATCACAACAGGTCCTCTGAAGATCATCTTTCCCCTCATGTTCCTAAGGTTCCGCTTGATCTCTTCCGTAAGCCAGGGATATGGGCTTAAAACCAAGGTAATAACGTACCAAGGTTCCGCTTGATCCAAGGCTGCAATGGATATGGCCTAACATCCAAGGTGTGAACAGCCCTGCCGAAGCAGGGCACCGAGGAAGCGGTTGATCCATGCCCGAGCGTATTAGGGATATGGGCAACAACCAAGGTAATAACGTACCAAGGATGCGCTTGATCCTAAATAGCTCGTTACGATGTGTGAAGAGATATGGGCTAACAACCAGAGGGAGGGTGCAGAATCACAACAGATTGCCGGCGTTTGGCACGGGTCAGAGACCCGTCCCAGGTCCACCACGAGGAGGCTCCGGCACCAGACCCTTTTCTCTCGCTTCTCACGTTTCCTCTCGCTTTTCCTCTCGATTTTCTTCTCACTTTTCTTCTCGCTTTTCCTCTCGCTTTTCCTCTCGCTTTTCCTCTCGATTTTCTTCTCACTTTTCTTCTCGCTTTTCCTCTTGCTTTTCTTCTCGCTTTCCTTCTCGCTTTCCTTCTCAATTTCCTTCTAGCTTTCCTTCTCAATTTCCTTCTCAATTTCCTTCTCGCTTTCCTTCTCAAGCTTTCCATTTCAATTTCCTTCTCGCTTTCCCTCTCACTGTTTTACTGTGTGCTTTCACTGTTTTATTCTCTTTTATGCTCTCTCTATTCTTCTCTTCTTCTCCCATGTCTCTTCTTTTCTCTCCTCTCTTCTCTCTTCTCTCTTTTCTTCCTGTTCTTTCTCTTATCTTCTTCCTCCTCTTTCTATTCTTCTTCCTCTCCTCAAACTTTGATTTTACCCTATACGAAGAGGTACTTTCACGAATGAGCCGTAAATAGTATTTTTTTTATTGTAGAATATAGTCTATTTGATCCCCAGGGAATCTAGTAGCCAGTAATAGACTTCTGACAGTGCTTCAGAAGACAAACGCACACTCCGTCACCGAGACAGAGAATTGACGAAGGAAGTGATTCGGTCACTTCATTCAAAGTTAGGAATAGTCTCAAAATTGTGAGCAATAGAAAAATGTTGAACATCTTATTTGTAATCAAGAATCTCATTCCTAGACAAAAGTCCTGAGGACAGAAGAACTCGCGATCCCAGTGGCGTGGCGTGAATTGCGATTTATCGATTGTTATGCCATTTAAATCCATGGTAAAAAATCGATTATTAAGGTGTTCGCTACGAACACCCTGTTTATCGATCCTTTTCCATAGGTTTAAATGGTCGATAAATCGATATATCGCAAAGCACGCCACGCCACTGCACGAACCGTCCATTTTTCATCATTTATTCCGGTAAAAATAACGTTGAATCAATAAGAAACTCAATGAAACACAACCACACCGAAACACACTCGCTCATCATATGTATGAACTGATATTAATCAAAATTAATCATTTATTGTCTCAAACTGTGTTTTTTGCTAAGTCCTGACGACGGCTGAGGCCGAAAAGCTTCGACTATTAAGTTCCTGAATTTCAAGTTAACGTGAGTTGACAGTTTATTTTAACCCATAGCACTGGCTACCCGACAAACCAAAAATTACACAAAAACTACTACCATAATGTTGTAAATCAACACTTTCAATACAAATTGTCATTGAAAGAGCAAAATTGACCAAGACGGATTATAAATATTAGTCGAAAAACAGTAACCTCAGGCGGAATTTTTTTCGTTTTGCAAAACAACTTCTAGTATAGCAATAATGAAAGTTTTGGTGGCTCACTTGCCTCGGCACAGTAAAACTAAACTTAAGAGAGCTCATCGTTTCCCGCATGAAAGAACGTAACTTCATTTCAATGTTGCCAAATGTCCCCTCGCAAATTGCATATTAAGTAGGAGAATCTTGAACTTTCCTAACTGGAAATTTCATTGATAATTTTCCCCGAGATTTCATGCAAAATTAAAATAAAAATTACACAGGCACATTTTCATTAATTTGTTTTACAAAGTTATGCCTGAAAATTGCACAGGCATAACTTTGTAAAATAAATTAATTGGTTGAGTCAATTTGGTGACCTTGGAATGGAGTTACATTCCTTCGTACGGGAGACAAGTTTTACATTTAAACGTCTGGTCAGTTCTACTTATATGTGACAGACGAGGGTTAAATGGACTACATTTTGCAATTAGGAACTAAAATTTTTGGCTCATCCTTAAAAACACTTTTGTGC